CCTTCTGAGTATATCAATGTGCTTCTCTTCCATCCCAGAAGTTTTTGTGGCGTCTTAAAAACCTGTTCAAGTTAAAGATGAAATTAAAGATAGCTTCAGACGTGGCATAATGTGTGTATCACTAGTGTGAGACTGGAAAACAGAGGTGGTTGAGCACGCTGATCACTGGCTGAAAAATAGAACCAGTAAACCGACGACAGCGACGCTGAGGACAACGTCGATTGAAAATGAATTTACATTTTACCTACGAATCTCGCGATACTCATAAGTCCATTTGCATGTTTCTCTTTGTCAAAATTGTCTCGAAATTATCTCGAAACTGAATATGGAACACGGTGCGAGTAAAATTCGAAATACAAATTCTAAACAATCATCGGATGAGGTTTTTGTGATATCCAGAATAATCAAGGTCGAGAAAGCGGTTGTCAGCCGAAGCCGAAAGCTGAGGCTGATAACCCTTACCGAGACCTTGATTATGCTGGATATCGCAAAAATCGAATCTAATAATTGTTTTATTACACGTTGAACTAAAAAAATAATGGAAGTCAAGTTTTTGCTTCTTCACTGACGGCAAGCAACACAAAGCGCCCGAACTTGACATGAATAACCTTACAAATCATGCACCGCGGTCATACATGGCATGATTACCCGTGACCTTGAGTGTCCTTGACATGATTATTGTATAATCTGCGGCTAGATGACGTCATAGGCGCTAATTTTGAAAATCCACTGTACGCCCTCGGCCAATCAGAAAAGAGATAGTTCAATGTATAATAATAACAATTATCTGTTGTGGTTCACGTTCTCCAGAAAACGCAGAATTTGGTCATTTCACGTTGTCGTTTTGGAGAGGACGGCAAAGAAATATATTTATGAAATAGAGAATATGTACCGTGTTTCTGTCGAGTTTTAGTAAAAGTCCACTGGCCTTCTATCACGAATGCCGTTCTCTGATTGGCTACGCTACTCACTACCTATTCTGTGATAGATAGTGAGTAATGTAGCAGCGTTCGCTAGGGGGACGCTTCTTTGTGTTTTCAAAGTGACTTCGAAGAGGATTTAGATTAAATTTTTGTACGACAAGTAGATTTATACTAAAACAATTAGATTATTCGCTCTCGATTTCTATGACTGATAGCTGATGAGGGCGCATCACGCGATAGAAATCTCGACCTCATAATCTAATTGTTTAATAGAAATACGAGTGGAAGTTTGGGAGAACGAGAAATGCTGTGGGAGCACGAGCCACAGGCGAGTCTTTCCACAGCTTTTCGAGTTCTCCCAAACTTTCACGAGTGTTTCTATAACTCGATAGAAACACGGAGAACATGTTATCTATTTCTTTTAGAAAACACCGCGACGAAAAAAAGAAAACAACTTGTTAACTTTGATTATCAAAAGATCAATTCTCTTTGCTCGCGCCATCATTACCTCAATAGCTCTTGCTACTTCGTTGTTTCTATCGAATTTTAGTATAAATCCATTTGCGTTCTATAACGAATGCCGTTCTCTGATCGCTACGCTACTCACTATCTATTCTGTGATAGATAGCGATCAGCGTAGCAGTGTGCCCTAGTCAACAAAATGACGACTGCTTCTTTTCGTTTCCGAAGTGTCTGTGAAGAGGATTTAGATAAAGTTTGAACGACTAGTAGATTTATACTAAAGCAATTAGATTATTCGCTCTCGATTTCTATACGTGATAGTTGACTCGGGCTGCGCCCTCGTCAACTATCACGCGATAGAAATCTCGAGCTCATAATCTAAT